CCCAGGACTATGTCACTGCCCCTCTATCCTGCAGTAATCTTGCCTCCCCTCCTCTCCCCTTCTACCTATATCTGTCTCTTTGGATAAAAAGCTTCTCCATAAGCACTCCTGCTTTACTTCCCTGTGTGTTCATAGAACTCCTTACACCACATGACCTTTATTCCAAGTACTTCCAATGCACAGATTACACATTGTTGCATCCTCTATGTATTGGTGCTTTCTTCTATTTGTAGCTTGCTTGGCCTGAAGCCATCCTTGGTGCATCAACCACTCATCCCTTCTCATTCAAGTCTTTATTGTACATATTCTTACTCATCAAATTGCAAAATAATGAAGACTTGTATGATTTGTTAAAAACTAAAACCCAGCTTTGTGCAAGAACAGTGACTCTGGTTGTATCACTGACCTCATTTAGTCACAATTGCTAAAAAGTGGAAAATCTGATCAAAACACTGTATTTCTCCTAAAAACAGCAATAATGTGGTTGCCTTACTGCAAAGGGGAAGCATGAAGGCCTGGTAGCATACCAGGAATATGTTTCCGTCTTGTGTACAGAAGGATTTATTTGATGACAATCTCGCCAAAATTACAGTCGTTAGAGAGGTTACCGTGAAGTGCTGGCTTACTGACCTCGAGGGAAGCCACTCAGTGCTGGGCCTATTTCAAGAGACAACTGGACTTTTACCAAGCTAAGAGCATAATATTTTCCTCTGCTCCCATACAGGTAATAAGACTTCATTAATTTGGTTACACCGATCCTAAGCACCTAATTTCTCTTAAGCTGTGAAAAGACAAATTATCTCCTGCAAATGGACTTTCGCAGAACTTTAAACAGTAAAAAGTAAACTGATTAATTCAGTTTGACAGCTCATTGTTAGTTACATGCCAGTAGTTTTATAAGGCTTTGACCTTGGTGGAGAAGCTTCACTCTTCATGAGCAGACCAACACTGACCCATCTGAATAAGCCCATTGACAAATTAGGGCACACTATGTTCAAGGACCTCAGGCCATCTCTGATCACACAGTGGTGTCACCTGTAGCTTTATCTTTACTATCTCTTGAATCTTTGAACTATTTGTTATGAGAAAGAATATGAACTGCTCTTCATATTAGTACACCTTCAAAACAAACACCTAATAGCTTTCCTACAATAAAATGTTGATATACTTCACACTTTTCCCAGTTCTTGTAACTGTTGGAAAGAAAATAAATAAAAATTAATTAATTGGGTTACCCAATGACCCTGTATTTCTTTAAGGTGATTTGGCCCTCATAAATGAGAACAGAGGAAATAGAAGTTAATAGCATTTTCTCTTATCACTTGGAATCTGGACACTTACTGTATACACCTTCCCTTTGATTTTTACGGAAGGAATGAATTCCATTTGATGGTCATTTTATTATGCCTTTACTACATTTTTTTATAATAGCTGGCATTTGATATTGTCTCGATCTGTGTTTGTGTTCAAAGTAGAGTCTGATTATCAAGGCTGTTGATCTTCATAGTGGCCAGTTGTTGCCAGTCCAGTTAAATTATTTGATTCTCTTCCACTGTGCTGCCTTTAACCATCCAGCTGCTTCTCAGGAGGTGTCTTTCTCCTCTGCTGTCTTCATCATTCTTACTTTCCTGCCTCTGTTTTCCTTCTTTCAAACCTGCACTTTTTCAGGAGCTTGAAATCTAAGTGAGGAGAAATAAAACAAATCAAAACAAAACAAAAAGGCTAACCCCAAGCCCAAATATAACGTAAACGCCCAAATCCACTCTTCTTTCTTATTCCTGGCTTCAGTTAGTGTTTAGGTCTAAAGCTAGGCCTGGGTCCATTAAGATGAGTTGTTTGGGTAAGAAGCAAACACCATGCACAGATACAACAAAATCAGCTCTGTTTGTTTTGGCCAGGGGGATTTGCTTGCTCAGATCACATTGAAAGAGTTAGAACTGCTCCGACTCTGAAGCTGAGAGTGAGGGCCTGACTCTTTCCTTACACATGTGATGTGACCTGGAATGACTGCCTGTAGTTATAAATCTCACATGCAACAAATCAGAACTAGAAGCAAATTGTACAACACACTGTATGCTTTGTATAATAGAGGAATGACTAAAAATCAGCTGCAAAGCAGAGCCCAACTTATTTGTTCTCGTCCCCATGTTGGGCTGAAAAATATGCGGCCTGGAAAGCAAGTGTCTTGCATACTTTTCATTTCACTCACAGGGTTGATTCATGCCAGTAAATGCTGAAACTCCACCTCATAATTGGGAGAAGTAATTTCCATTCCATGAGTTTTGCTTGAAGCTAATGCATGCTATTACAAAACACCTAAAGTAAAACTTTAACCATTTCTCTTAGCCCAGCTGTGAAGTTCAAACTGCTTTTAAAGTTAATTATCATGCTCTGACCTGCACATATGCACATGTTAAATACAAATAAATCAATACGGCAAGCTTATTCTTGTTTCAATTTGCTTTTTGTTTTTAAAATTAGCATACTCTTGCTTTGCCTATCAGATATACGAGTGTGATGGTATCTCTCATATTAAAGTTTTGCATTTGTCTCTTTGTAGTTCATTTGCTATTTTATAAACCCAAAGTCCTTGAGGGAGTGTCGGAAAGCCCCATAATTTTCCTAAGTGTTCCATTTTACCTTTTTATCTCTGATGTAGCTAGTATATGTGAAAAAGAAATGCAGATAGCCAGATGGCTCCCTAGTGTCCATATATACAAAAGCTCTGACAAACACAAGTGACTTTACCTAATGCTGACGTTGATTCATACTTGAGCTTGTTCTTATTGTCTTTTTTCTAATGCTATATTATTAGGAGCATGTGTGATCTTACCTAGAAAATTATTATTATTATTAATTTTAAGGAAAAACATAGACTTTTTTTTAATTAAAGTAAAAATATTTGGGGAGGAGAGAATCATCTTAACTCCTGGTATTGGTATTTCATGGTACCATCCTTCTTTTTCTTTGACTGGTATAATTACCCATTTCACATGTCCCCAGAATCTCCTAAAAGAGAAGTTATTTTGTACTTGCTCTGTGGTTTTCGGTGCATTTTTCTCTGAATCACTCTGCATAGATCACAGCAAGAGGGAGAACACTGAGTTAGCTGATTCACTTCTGTTGCTTGGTGTGGTGATCTCTAATTGCTCTTAGTTGTGGGGATTTTCCAAAGCAGACAAGTGACTTTTCCTTTTGCCAGGGCACTGCTGTCAGACCGAGGCATTTGAACATCACCACATTTCAGGGATGAGCAGCATCATGTTCACAGCCATGCAGCCTGCCTGTGGAGAGAACAAGCTCACTAATGGCTTAGTTTAACCGCTCTCTAGGACAGCAAGCGTTGACACATTTCTGCGTAGTTTATTTGTGTTAAGGAGGAGAACTGGAAGAGCATCAACTTTTTTAATGACTCATCATCTGCAGAGCTCAGTTCATCTGAAGACATCAGTCAATTAATCCTCAAGACATGATCAGAAGTGGGGCAAGATTTTAAAGATTCTGGGTCCGTTCCTTTTCCAGCATCAGCTGCAAGTCTGGCTTTCCATTTCAGAGGAAGGAACATCCCATATTTCTGTGTTCCCTGTGATAACAAGCACCATATAATATTGGATTTTCTTGCTTGAATAAAGCACTAACTTTGCTAAGCTGGTACTGAAACCTTGGGAGAAATAGGCCATAAAGATATCCACATGTGTAGACAAAATTTGTTTAGTCGAGGTGCTGCATTCAGGTGCCCTCTCGCTATAGTAGATCAGTATTATTGACTGCTTTGGTTAGTATGGCCAGAGTGTGTTAATAGCTGGAAACAAAACTGCAACTCAGGCTTGTGCTCTGATTCATTGTGGGTACTTGTTTACTTGTTAACATATTTCTGGTTGTCTGAGATGGCTCCAAGTGTATCACAAGATGTGCTCCCTTGAAGTAATGCTGTGACATTACCCTGCTGAGTGACCTGCACTGCCTCGGCTGGATCGGAGACCATCTCTGCGAAGGTGAAAACCTTGATTCAGAAGTTTACACCCAGCAGGTCAGAGCAGCACAGAATATGCTTGCAAGACAACTTAGGAAAACCTAACCCAGAACCCAAAAAATGTTGTTTGGAAAATCCTTGTGGCTTTAATGGAGCTGCACTGCAGTTCACATTTTCAAGACAACTTGGGTAAAGTTTTCAACACTGTCTCACTTCCATGAGAGCACAAATCTCACCAAATGGGAAATATTGCTCAGTGTACCTTGGGGAAAAAGTTAGCTTGAGCAAATACAGTTCCCAGTCTCCTACACTGCCAAAGAGCTTCTGAAAGCTGGGGTAAATCTTCCGGAGCAGCTCTGAACTCTGAAACCGAATTTTCAATCCAAGCACCGCTGGAATTCTCCTCTCCTCTTTGCTCATTTTCTTTCCAAGTTTTAAATCGATTGAATAATTCGTGGGCGGGGAGGGCGAGAACACCCCCTCCGAGGGGTCTGCCTGCCACCCGGCTCCCCCCTCCCCACAGCCCAGCCTCATTCCCTCTTCACAGTGACACCTACCGGCATTCCCGGTCCTCCCAGCCCGGGGCCGCTCTGCCCTTGCCCCTACCCCACTCTCCCAGCTCTGCCCCGCCGCCTCCCCAGCTCTGCCCGCCGGCCCCGGCCCGGAGTCCTCTCCGGCCGCCCGGGCTTTGCTGCCCTCGGGGCGCGCTGGGAGCCCCGGCACGACCCGCCCGGCGGGGCACAAACTTTCCCGGCGACTTTCCCTGCCCGCTCCAGCGCACAGGGCGCGGATGGGGCCGGAGGCTGCCCCTGCTGAGCCCTCGGGGGGCTGCGCCCCTGCTCAACCCCCGCCTGCCCCGTGCCCCCCTGCGCGGTGCCAGCGGCGCTGCCGCGGGCGGACGGGCCGGGCCGGGCAGGGCCGGGCCGGGCGGCAGCCGCCGGCGCGCAGGGCGGGGTGTGGCCTCGCCATTATTTATGAGCTCCAGCCCCTATTTGCTCAGCTAATGATGCACCGGCGGCCGCCGAGCCTCGCCTCTCTAGAGCGGCGGCGGCGGCCAGGGCAGGGCAGCGCCTGTAACTGGAAACCAGCGCCGGCTCCGTCACCGCGCGGCCGCTCCATTCACTCCTAAGGTGCGTAATTGCGGGCAGGGGAGAAGCGCTCCCGGTGCCTTAGGAGTCCAGCTGCCAGGATTACTGTACGGAGGAGCCGGGAGAACCCCTGCAGACGCCGCGAAGACAGACTTTTCTTTTTTTTTCTTTTTTTTTTTTTCCCTTTAATTTATTTTCCTCTCCACAATGTGCCAGGGTTGGAATTAAAATGTTCTGGTAACGGGAGTGGAGTCTATAAACTGATAGAAACCAGATAATAATCGATATTGCTGGTGCCTCTAATAACCGGGTAAGCATAACTTAAAGTTCTCTTTCTTTGCTGTAATAAGATGTGAAATGTCTCCTAGGGCTGAATTTTCCTGCTGTTCTCAGATAGTTAAAACAATGTTTTCCAGATTGGCATAGTCTGTGTTTGGCAGGGATTTTTTTTTCTCCTTTATTTCTTTTCTTTCCTCTGCTGAACGATTTTCCTTACAGGATTTAAGGGTAGGACCCAGCCTGTAGCACATGACACCTGCACAGCACTTCATAGCAAAGCGATACTGTACTTTCCAAAAGCAGTACACATGGTGCAAGCGACCTCCGTAGCAGGGAAACTTCACCACTTCACTTTAGTAGCGATTTGTCTGTTTGTTTACAGTTGGAATAGGGTTTAAGAGAGAAGTGTAATTAGACGCTGCCTTTTGTCTGTCCTGTAAGATTCTTTAAAAGTACTCTTCAAGGTTTTAGGTTTGTGGGTTGTCAGCAGAGATCATGTGCACGGGGCATGCTGAATATAGTATCATGACTTACTGAGATAAATTCAGAGCTGGGATATAAGCCCAAAGCAAGAGTCAAACCTGCAATTCAGTTACCAGGTCTGTAGATCTCTGAAATTAAGCCTATTTCCATTAGGTAACTCACATGTCAGACACCCTGAGGTGCCTTTTTGGCACTATATGCATTTATTATTTATGTGTCTAACAGCTGGGTAGGAACCATGCTGCTCAGCATTTGAATCTTATATGTGCCTGTCACTTCTGCGTTAACGGTGAAGATCTGCAATTTGAGCAATGAAATGTAGCAATGTTTCACTCCTGTGACTGATTGCAGTAAAATTGGCAGGAGGCACGAGAGTGGGAGGGAAGGAGTGCTGAAAGGGGTTTCTTTCTATTATTATTATTTCCTACAATATTATTTAATGGAAGGGGGAAAGCCACACACTTGTTCCTCTTTGACTTTTTATCTTTATTGCAAAGAAAGCATAGTGCTACTACTGTAAAATACTAATCCCATTGCATCTGTTAAATCATATGTTCTGTATGATTGGTTATTTGTTTTGGCCTGACAAAGAAATTTTATCAGGATTTAATGCCATTTCTCTCTTAGAAGAGGGGTAAGTAGAAGGATATCCCATGGGCTAGTCACAAGGTTTTAAATTTAAAGCCCACAAAGCAGCATTAGTACTAGAGTTCGTACAGCCTGTTTAAAAATTATTCTTGGCAAAAACTCTACAACTATCGTTTTATTAGTTAACAGACCCTTAGAGATAATTTGGAACTGGGCCAGAATGGATATGTTTCTCCTGCAGACCCGATCTGTAGCTGGCAAATTTGTGAAATGGGTGTTTTTGTCAATTATCAGAGTTGTAGAATTACTTGATCTCTGTGCATTTCTCAGTATTCCAGAGCAAATCATGAAGGAGAGTCTAGAGTGTGGGCTGCAGAGCTGTGCAGTCACTTGCATGCTCTCCATCCCACCTGCAACTTTATACGAAGTCCTCATGCAGAGAGAAGCCTTTCAAAGCGATTTACAGTGAGTGGATGAGGAATGACAGAGGTAGTAATGAGATACGGGGCTCTTACCGCTAAGTCAGTGGTGTGGATCCGTCCCAAACCAGTGCTGACCTAAAGTCATCCCTGCCTGACAGCTCATTCCTGCCATGCCGTGGTGCTTACAGCCGGTTCTTTAAGGACAGGTGTGAACCTCAGAGGGGCCGAATGAACAGGCATGTAGAAATACAGGCTTCCACTGGAGGGACTGTAGTGCTGGAGCAGAGCTGAGGTAAAATGCAAGATGATTGCCCAGGGAACAAATCTCTTCATAAAATAAATATATAGCTTTTAATGCTGTCTTCCAGCTGTAGGGGTTGTATCTTTCAAAGTGCTTCCAGTTGCCATAGAATCAAATATATCACCTGATTGATGAACTAATAAGTGGTGTCTAGTAGAAGGGCTGTTTACACCAAAAAAAAAATATATAAACAGCGAAGTAGAATGGGCCTAAAATGATGTTTTTTATTTGCACCTTTGAATCCGAGCTGACGAAGTTGTTAAGGATAGGTGAAATGAAATTCGCACTTCACAATATTTGGAGAGATGCAGTTTAGGAGCAGATATGATATAGATATGTAATATTCAGCTTCTGATATCTGCTGGGTTTTATGGATCCGGTCCAAAGTCCATTAGAATTGTTAGGAAAATACCATGACTCCAGTTAGCTCAAGTCCCTGCTGAGCTAAGAAAAGATGCAGAGTTTTGGACCATTTTCTGACTCTCTGAGAACCTCAGGCTTCTCAGCAGCTAAACCCTATAAAATTAATGTAGAATCAGCACATGTGCAGGAGGAGTAGCAGAAGTATCAAGTGTAATGCACTGTCCAACTCTGGGATTCTTAGTGCTCTGTAGAAGTCTGTGAGAGCAGGTAAGTATCCCGAAAGGAACTAGCCCAAAAAGCAAATGTTGACTAACAGTTTCAAGCATGTTGAAATACTTCTGGTTTCAATGTTTTGAAATTCATGATGTACATAGTCAGGACTTCTTAAAGGAAGAACTAAAGGCTATTAGAGAGCTCAGCTTACCAAAACTTAAAGTTCATTTCCAAGCATCTTTGATTTCAAATGTTAAAAGAAAACAACCAATTTCCCGAATGTCCCCCTCTGAACATGAGGGAGACGTCTAAAAATATCAGCCAGCTTTTTATTCATGAAACTTTATCTCCTGTCCTTGCTTTACTCTGCCTTGACATTTAGTATAATTATATTTCCAGCAGGTGGAATTGTCCTCAGTTTAAATAAACCAAATCTGATGATGTAGTCTGCCCTAGCCAAAACTTTGGCTCTGCTGGTTCCTACGAACAGGCAGAGAGCTCCTTTTGTGCCAGCATAGAAGACTGCTGAAGAAAACCATTTTCAGATATACAAAGAAAACAGAAGTGCTGTACCTCCTTCACATGAGTTATTATGGCTTCAGCTGGAAGAGCTTTCTAACACAGATCTTTCCATGCTGTTGCTTTTGCTCGTCAAAATTGTATAAGAAGAGTAATGTGATATCTCTGTCTTTCAGGTTTTGTTTCTTGGATATTAAGTTGCAAAACTGAAGAGATGGCCTTTCTTGCAGTGCACGTGTTGATTGGGATATTTATTTACTTTAGCAGTGTAAAAGGATCTTCCCAGCCTCAAGCAAGGGTGTTCCTAACATTCAATGGTAAGAAAGAAGATAAACATTCTTAAGCAAATGTTATGATTGAACATTTTCTTCATCCCTTTAAGTTCAATAACTGAGTAGAAACTGGCTTTTTGATCTACATCCACAATTACTTTGTTTTTTGTTGCTAAGGTATCTGTCAGCCTGAATTTGATTTTTTTACCTGAAGCTACCTATAGCTATACATGCTTAATTAATAAGACTTTTTCTTTGTTTTGAGTTATTATGACTTAATAACAATCAAAGGTTTTATTTCTTATCCTTAATTTTGCTTGGGAATGATGATAGCATATGGCATGTAGTGGAAGCTATGAATGATTTGAGTTGCTTTCATTCAGTACCCAACGGAGACACTTTATACTCTGAAAATGAGTCTGCCTGAAGTTTTACCAAAACAGTTAGCCAGGCACAGAGTCCTCTGAAAAAGTATCCTTCCTTGTGCACTTTGTACAGTGTGTAGGATGAATGTAGCATGTAGCAATCACTGATGCCTGCATACTGTTAACAAGCAATCAAAATTACTATTTTCAAAAGAAAGTTGCTTTTGCTTCTGAAGTTCTGAGCAGTACTTTATTGCTACAATTACCCCAGTATTACTTTTAATGGTAATTTATTCTTCTAGTGTTAATCCCTGTCCTAAATGATGATTTTAACCACCACTTCAGAATATGTGTGTTCTTCAGCTTACAATGTCTTTTAAATCTGAGCTGAAATTTTCTGTCAGTAGCTATAGGGGTGTTGACTTTCTTTAGCACTTTGCCTTTTTGGTGATTGTCTGAGCCATGAACGCTTGCTGCTCCCTGCACCTGATGCTGTCTGCAGTAGGCTGGCTTGTGTGGTTCATTAGTGTTGGGATGCCCTGCAACTGCCATGGGAATATTCTGTGTGCTCTGAACAGTCTTTAAGAATCAAATAATCATGGCTAATAAGTATCTCAACCTTGCCACAATGATCATTACTATGTAATCATGAGACTGAGAGACATCCAGAAGGAGACCTTCCACAAATACCAACCAGACACTGAGCAATACAAGGTGTCATATATTATAGAGTGTAGGGCCCTAAACTGATGAGTGCAATACTTACTGGGTGTAAAATGGCATGGTTCCAGTAAAAGCGATAGTAGGAATTGAATTCAAGAGGGAACTGCCAAGTGAAGTAGTAGAGGAGTGAATTTCTTTTCCTTGCTTAGATAGCACTGGCTGGTGTAGGTGATACTGTTTTGGACAACTCAGCACAGAAGCAATTTTGGCTGTGGTTGTGTGTTGCACTGCAGGTTTGCCACAGGCTGATTTGGATTTCCACATCATCTGCTTGGTGCCCTTAAAAGTAATCTAGGCTTCCCCTGCTCTCTGGTATGACCATGAAGTAGGAAGTGTTCAGGTTTCGTGGTATTCAGCCTTGTGAATAGGAACGAATTGTGATGAGGGACAAGCGGTTTTAACATGGATTCAAGAAATGTGTTTTTCATCACAGGTATCCTGTAAGTCTGAAATACTGAAGCACCAATAGGGCAAAGGACCCCAAATCTAAGGATTTAAAAAAAGTACTGAATGAAAACCTTAGTTCCTCTGTTCCTGTCTGAAAGGAGGTTGTCCCTCCTTCCTTTAAAAAGCACTATGACAGCTTTATGCTGCAGTGACCCCTTTGTCTGGTGAGCTTTTGGGCACCAAGAGCATTGCCACTCTGTGCTGGCCCTGGGGATGCAGCCTCACCTCATTGGTTCCTGCTGTAACCCTGCTTGGCTGCCTTGGTTAGACCTGTTTCTGAAATATCACGTACAGTAGTTAACTGTCCTGTGTCCTTTCCTTGATTTTTAAAGTGATGCTTTGCATGAGTAAAAATGAGTCTCTAGCCTTGGTGGAAGTTAAGGTAAAGTAAGTGTCATCAGAGCCTTGCAATACTATCTGATTATCTTAACTAATATTTTACTTTCCCTGATACTTAACAGTCAACCTTTAAAAAAAAAACAAAACAAACAAACCTAAAAAACCAAACCAACCAAAACAACAAACAAAAAACCCTAATAAACAAAACATTTTTAAGTCCTAAATTTTTAATGAGTTTTCTGAAATCATAAAAGAAATTAATTATGTGTTTTATAATATGAGAACTATGTCTGAAATAAAAATTTTTTGTATAACTTATCAACAGTAGTTTTATTTTTAAACTTGATTTCCAGATGGTAAGAAACAGCTTAACAGCTTTCATTATGTCAGAAGAATTTGCAGGTTGTTGTGTATAACAAGGTAATGGCCCCACCTGTAATATGAACTTATGTTCTATAAATCTGTTTATTTACGTGAATACTGATAAAAGAGAAAAAGGTGAAACTTTGTATTAAACTCTAGCAAAGTGTGATAACACACTTTCTTCATAAGCTGCTTCATAGCTTATTGTTTTTAAATCATGTAGAAATAGCAAGTTATTGGCCATCTCCTTGCCCTGAGAAGCTGTCAGTTTTTATGGAGAATTGTCACTCTTTTAAAGTGCATCATTTGAAAATAAACTATAATTAGGTCTCCTTATGTTTTAAATGACATTAGACAATAAAAGACAAGTCATTCAAGCTTAGGATACTTATGTGATATTTTTCAAGTTCTGAATTGGATTTGGCTTGGTGTCTACAATTACATTACATAAGTTTTGGGGGTAGAATGCATACAGGAGGAGAAAATGAGTGATGCTTTTCAAAACTAACCTGCTCCTTCAGGATCAAGTCAATTGAGCTTATTCACACTGCAGCATTTCTCATGGGAAAATCCAGCAAGTATCTTGACCTATTCTGTTTTTCATCAGGAAAGATAAAAATGCGAATCATTTGAATCATGGGCTGCTTTTCTCTTTGCCATCGACTTCATTAAGAATCAAATGTAATTAAAAAGTACGCCTGGGTAATACCTCAAGAGCCTGATAATGGGGATTTTGCAATTAACTTCAATGGATGAAGGACTGCAACCCTAACTTCTATTTTTGAAATCAAAAGCCTGGCCTCTTGTCTAATTAAAATGTAGTTCATGACTTCGCTGAGATTGTTAACTGCGTATGACGTGAGTGCGGGACTTACTGCTGTCTGCACCCTGAGTGCCTTGAAAATTGCAGTGCTGTACAGAACCTTGATTTCTATTGCTTTGCACCTTGTATAGCCATTTACTCAGCTGAAAGAAAAGGTCAGGCTGGAGCTGAACTGCTTGGCATGCACAGGTATATGTGGTTATGGACGGCACTGGGCCTGCAGAGAGTCAGGCAAAGGGGCTCTCAGTTTGCCTGGAATGATTTGTCATGACCCAGTTGTCCTGTTCAACGGGGATGGCTCAAACCCTTAGTATTTGTACAAGATCTGCACTTGCAGAGCCACTACAGTTGAAGAAGGAAGATGGCTCCAGCTCTTTCTGATTCTGAAATTGCAAAGGTGTGAAGCCTGTGGTGCAGCAGCTGCAGCCGTGTTGGGAATCATCTGCTGTGTTACAGTGAAGCCTGCAGGTGTGAAGGAACCTGGGATGGGGGAAGTAAAGGACTCAGCATGTCTCCCTACACTGTTGGTATACTATTCCCCCTACTCCTACCTCTTCTGGCTCCTTGTCCTTGGAATAGATCTTCCTTAATCTACGTAAATCACCTATCATAATTAAAACATCATAGTTTATTTTCTCTTCATAGCAAAAGACTTACCTTATCTGTTTATGAACTATCAAGTATGGTGCCTGCAGTTTCTCAAACTATGTGCATTCCTCCTTACTGCATATTCCTGAGCAGATAACTGGGAGCTGTATTGTTCAGTCTTTACAGGGAAGAAAGCTTTCTCAAATCAGTGGGAGTATTATCAGGATCAGGGAGGAGTTATTAGACCCCAGGTTAGTGTTTGAATTTGTTTCATACCAACTCACATTTATTTTTGGATTTTATTGCAACCCTAAAATGTCAGGCTGTACCATTTTAATATAAAGTTCTGAATTAATAAAAGCAGATCTGGTACTTATTTTTTAAAATGCACTAAAACAAACCTTCTTTGAGATTTAAATTTATATGGAGATGCATAACCAAGTAATAATTTCCCAATCTACTGGAAACACTTAATGCATTCCTACCTCAAATGTCTAGTCTGGCAGATATTTCCCATGCAGACTCTTCATTGTTTCCAGTGAAAATTCCATATGAGAAGTGGATCAAGGCTAATTTGCAGACGGTTTTGTTCTTCTCTTTGTCATAAAATTACTAGAACACGTAAAGGACTTTTAAGAAAGTATCAGTCAGCTTCATTAATGACAATTAAAAAGCATAAAATGTCACCAGAGCAACAGCAGCACTTATTCAACTGTCAACATATTTTAAAAGATTTAATGCAACCCCTGTGGTTACCCTCAAGGAAAAATAAAGGAGCTGAGAACCATTTTCTTAGAGCTCTTGAGCAACAGCAGTACAACTTGTTTTTAAACAATCCCTCATTGTAATGTTAATGTTACCACAGTTAATAAAAAGTTCATTTATTATTTGGGGGACTTTGTGCTGATGACAGTCCAGTAGGCAAAGGTTTATGCTCCAATAGTTGATTGGATCTGTTTTGGTGTCCATAGAATGAAAGCTACTTGCAAAATGAAGTAGAAGCAAAGCATTAAAGGAAAAAAAAAAAAAAAAAAAAAGAGAGAAAGAGGAAGAAGAGATCCATGGTTTTATTTTTGTTTAAATGCAAAACTCATCTTGAATGTTCATACAGTTGCTTAATTTTCAAATAATTGGGTCATATTTTCTCAAATTTAACTGATTTGTGGCTTTCGTAGCTTCATGGATTTAAATAATGCTAATTTATAAAGCATTTAACATCAACCATGTGTTAACATTTCCAATTTAATTGTCTCTCACTGGAGATCTAAAAACTTAATTCTGAATATTTTCAACTAAAAATATAATTATTTTTTATTTTTAGTAGTGAAGATGGTATTTTAACACTTGGTCATAAAATCAGAGAATATTAAGGGGCTGGAATGGGCCTTAAAGATCAT